CTTCCTCAAAGTTGCTTCTTCTTACAGGAAGCACACCACATCCCTAAAGCAGCTACTCAGCTGTCCACAGATTCCATCATGGAGCTGATTGCCAGTCTGAGCATGGGGAATCACTACACCCAGCTGCTCAGCCACTCAACCAGGCCGAGCCAAGTGGACACACAACCTTACCCACCACACCATGCTAACATTCACACTATTTCCCATTCTCCTCTTCAAAAACGTTAAATCATGAAATACCTTGCCTCTGGCTCCTTGGACCAGCAAAGGCCATTTTCCCAGCAGCATATCTATCTACTCAGGAAGAGGGAGGGCATAAAAGTTCTAATACGTACCTTGACGTCTCCAGATGGATTAGCACCGGCTTGTCCACAGGAAAAAGAAGGCAGCATTAAACGAACAGGTCTTCCTCGTGCCTTCTTGGCTAGAAGCAGCAGATAGGTAGCTGTCAGGTGATCATATTGCCACTGGAGGAAAAGAGAAGTTGTTTAGAAGACTAATGCTGTTTGGGGAAATGCTATTTTTTAAATTAATTTTATTTCTCTGAATAGCGGACAATCACAATTTTAAGTCAAATAGCTTGACAAGGCATACAATGAAAAACAGCAATTGCCCACATCACATCCAACCCACACGCGCACACACACACACACACCCCTTTCATCTCCCAGAAGAAATGCCTTTTAAACTCCTTTAGCTCTCTCTTCCGCTACTAATTCCACATTTCCAAATTACTTCCTTTTTTTTCCAGTTTCAGATGTTATATATAGATTTTCCACTATGGAAAATAAGAATTTAGCCCTACTATGACGCCCTCCCTTTCCCAAATGTTTCCTCCCTGCATCCTCCTACTATAATCGTATCATAATTTTTAGTTAAATTAATACCCAGTATTTACATTTCATGACTATGTACATGGCATCGACAACTAGGCAGAGGTTATATTCAGAATATTTAACCTGTACTCTGGCACCAACCAATCAGAACAGAGGCCAACAGGTGAGTAGGGTCCTGAGGGGACCCTTTCCATGCCAATTATTTACCCTTTAATTGCTGCATGGGGACAAAGTGCTAAGGGAGACAAGTTGGCAACAGGGAAGGGATTTGGGTTGTGGTTATCAACCAATCAGTACATAAGATTCGAATATTTTAACAACCAGTATGGCCAGACTGACTAGGTATCAGCCCTGCAGTGAAACCCCATGTGGTGCCGGCCTTGCATTTCCTTCTTTTATAACTTTGTTTTTCCTGAGATTTTGTTTATCTTAAATAAATAAATAAATAAATAAAAGGCAGTTATACTCTTCCTAATTCAACTCCATACTCTCCACCTCCTCCCAGTGTGTCCACATACATCAGTCCGTCTGTTTCCCCTTCTGCTTGGAGACATT